ATGTTTCAAGTGATGCATCTTCTTAAATATCTGTGAATAATTCATACTATAGGAGCTGTTTCAGTGTTTATAAATGCTATCTTTGAAACTGCTTTAACTAATAATTTGTAACCAGCATTACTTCACAAATTTTCTATTGTCTTCCTTCAGATTATAGGTTTTAGTCCTGTTAGCATAGCAGCATTCATAGCTGTGGTAGGAATTCTGTCTATAATAGCTCAGGTAAGTATTATCCTAATAACTTTTTAGAAATTCTGTTGACTCTTTGGATTTATAAAGAAGAAAAATTTAAGTTGTGCATAAATAATCAAATCTATGGGAATTGTGATAATGAAACTCCTCTTCAAAAGGTATTAAATGAGTCCATCATAATACAGTAAATTTCTTGAATATATTTCCCCAAAGTTGTATGAGTGTAGCCAGTCAGATAAATGCTACAGATGTGTCATTTTTTACATGTTGCAATGATGTATAGATAAGCTTCTTTCCACTCTTTAAAGCCTCAGTAGATTTTGTTCAGTAAAGAAACATCTGTTCATTCAGATTTCTCCTGAGACTCACTCTCTCCCCATGACCTCCAGTAACCAACTGTGTTCTGCAGAAGCATTGGAATTAAGTTTCAGGAGGTTGAGATGTCCAAACTCACTACACTGAATTATTTTCAAGAGCTGGACCAATGTTTTAAACCTATTTTGGCAAGAGATTAAAATGGCAACTAAGCTAACTGCTTTCAAAACACAGTACAAAACTTCTTTCTTGACTGCTTTCCTGTGATTTAACAAGAACAAAAATCAAATGAGGGGATATAAAATGGATTCCTTTAAACTTTTTATATTTTTAAAATGCACATCAGCTCAATATAAATGGGTAAATTTGGCCTTTTAAAATGCTGCCGCCTCTGAAAGGACTCTGGACAAAGAACTCACATGACATAGGATTTAATTCCAACATGGCTACTGAAATATTTTTATATCTACCAATACAGTTAACTATGGGGACGATGAATGAAAATAGAGAGCAATAAGAGAATGATATAGTAAGTGAGGAAATGTGGTGTATTGCAGAAGTATAGATATGATTTGCTTCCATGTTACTGTGATGAGGGTGTTGATTGTAAGATGGGTCTCCTGCTGTGTTTTGGATATTTTCTGCTGTGAGGCACAATGCACTGTGGACAGTGCCTGCCTTTCAGAGAATGCCATCAAGAAGTACCTGCCTCTTGGGTTGGACTAGTGGGTTCCCCTTGCCCAGGGGCCACCACTGAAGATTGACTGACTGTGGCCTCAGAGGCTCCTGTGCCTCAAGGCTGAATCCTCCGTAGGGTGCACCTCACAGTGGAAGCGAGGAAGAGTGTGAGGAACTGAGGGCTTGTCTTCACTACATGTTGGGTTGAAGGTGCAGTGGTCAATCCACTGGCCATCGATTTATCTCATCCAAGCTCCGTGCAGATAGAGGCTACTGCCAGAGCAGCCTCTGTCCACGGTGAGCTCTGGCTCGCTGCAGACAGAGGCTACTCGGTGGGAGCCAGAGCAGCCTCTGTCTGTGGGGAGGTTGACCCCTGCCTACACAGACAGGGGCTGCTGCCACCTTGCGCTTCTGCCTCTATCAGCTGGTCTGGGTGGGGAGCTGGTTTTTAAACTGCCTCCCCTTATGGACCAACTTCCACCTGGAACCTCATATTGCTGCCTCTGATGCAGAGGCAGCAGCATGGAGTGGCAGGGGGCTTTCTGGAGGTGGAGCCAGAGCGCACTGGCTGCTTAACATGTTAATTTTTTTTATAAACTCAGTAACAAGTAGGGAAATCTCTACCTTTTTGAAAAGGAAAACTGGATGTGCTTTTAGTAATATTAATACATCAAATTGTGTATCAAATCTGTGTTAGGGCATTTTTGTGTTAATAATCCAAAGTCAGAGTTCAGTTAATGGAATTTAAACAGCAACAAGTGGAGCTTCTCTTGAATTGTTTCCCATAGAAGTAGAAGCTATGTTATAGATCTCAAGTTTAGATACTTCAGTGGAGTATATTCCTTATTTTTACAGACTGTGTTCCTCAGTATCCTGATGAGGTCAATAGGAAACAAGAATACTGTCCTCTTAGGCCTTGGCTTTCAGATGCTCCAGCTGACCTGGTATGGTTTTGGATCCCAGCCTTGGTAAGCACATGTTTTCTGAGCTATACACAGGTCATGGGGCTTTGAAATATTTTTTTCCTCTTGTAGTGAATGCTCATGTCCGTTCCAGTATTTGCGTTTGCACGCACCAAGTCCACAATCATCAGAAGATTTGTTTTTCCTTACTGGTACTTGTCGGGTTACTGGTGACACCTCCCGGCATTATAGATATACCCCTGCTGGCCTGACTCTCTCTTCACTTCCTCCTTTCTGCCAGTGACAGTTGTTGGAGTTTATGACTTCTTGCTTTGCAAGCATTTAGTTCCTAGCATTAGACTTCTGTGTTCTTTCTAGGGTAGATTAGTTTTTGTTTGAGTTATCTTAGTAGCAGTTAGTTTTTTGGGTGAGGGGTCCTCCTATTGTTTGTACTCTTTGGCCCCAGGGTTTCAAACCAGTGTATGAAGTGTGGCAATTGCATGCCCGGAGGGATAGTTGGGATTGGTCCTGCCTTGGGCAGGGGGCTGGGCTTAATGACCTGCTGAGGTCTCTTCTAGCTCTATGATTCTATGGTTCCTCACACTGCCTGCTTGAAGTGTCTTGGAGAGGGTCACTTGCCAGATAAGTGCAGTATCAATATGCCCTCATTTGGGAGAGGAGAGGAGCCAGTGGCTTAAACTGATCTTCATGGAGTTGGCACTTAGGCCTCAGCCAGCCACTCTAATGCCATCGGTGCGCAGCATGCCGACGTTAGTGCAGGAGGCTTCAGTGCTGAGCCCAGAAGATCACCATCAGCACCAATCTCGAGTGCAGAAAATTGGCTCATCCTCCCAGTACTGGTCCCCTTCCCTGGTTCTGTGTAAGAAGAGGAGGACTGACCAGGGTTGATACCTATCCAGGAGGTCTAGTAAAGCCCAGGAGTCAGCTCGCACTGCACCCAACCTGTGAGGGCCGAGAGCTTCAACCCTGGCACAGTCGACTCTGAGCCCCCTGGCAGTTTTCTTGAGTCCTTTGTCGATGGACTGTCTGGTGTAGATGCTGGTGGAAGATGATTTCAACTTTCCATCCACACCACACCATCTGTTTGAGGCTGTGTGGGACTCATTGAACTCATGGCACTGGCTCCATTCAGCACTGGCTCCACGTCAGCACTTCCCTTTGGTAGCACTGGTGACACCACCTACCATAGCGTGAATGGCACTGCCCTGTGCAACTTCATTTTTGGCACTGGCAGCTTTGACTCAGGGGACTCTCCTGGCATCAGATCCGATACCTGTGGCACTGCCTATGTCTCCCCCTTCTTGCCGTCACCAGGGATGTCTTTTGTAGCATGGAAAGCCCACTGTCTTTAACCTGTTAACATTTTAAACAATAATTTAACGTCCCTGGTACCTATCCATGCTGTAGATTCACTGAAATGGCTCCTTGGTATGAACTTTTCTAATGGTGGATAAGCCAGCATCATATTTTGCTCACCTCTCATCTTAATTTGGGTTGAATTCAATCAGTTAATTTCGATGAGCTCACTGTAACTCAGAATAACATAAATAGGAGAGATTCTGAGGTTTTGACATTGCTAGAGGAGAAAATAACTAAATTGTAAATGCATTGCAGTTACAAAAATTACATCTTTGGGTACTTAGCGGTGAATGGCTTAGAAATTGTTTAAAAAACAATTTTGACCGAGGAACCTGAAAATGTTTGTTGTATTCTTGCTTGTTTGGAAGAAGTCCTTTTGTACTAAAGTGTATACTGCTTTATATTTTGTTTAAACTACGTATTTAAACAACCAGGATGATGTGGGCAGCAGGAGCTGTTGCAGCCATGTCAAGTATTACATTTCCAGCAATCAGTGCTCTTGTTTCAAGAAATGCAGAGCCAGATCAACAGGGTAAGTTCAGTAAATTCATGTTTGTGCTCCTGAAAAATTCTCTTTCTTGAACCAGTTTTCTTAAAAGCTTAATGACTATCTAGCTGTGCTCTTTAAATAAAATGATAAAGGAAGTAATTGGTTTTTGTCAGTAGGAATGAAAATTTGTCTCTTGGTATTGTCGAGAGATGGATTCATATCAGGCATACTTGCCTTTCATTGTTCTGGTTAGTGTAGTCATCTCTTTACATAATTGCCTTTAAAGATGCTAGAAAATAAAAAGTAAGTTGCTACAGTAATTTTCATGCTTTTTTCGCTGCTTTTTTAAAAAAAAGCATTCTGTGATTGAACAGCTAGCACTAGTGTAGCAGTACCATCTTTTTCTTAGATAGTCCCCATTTTCCTGCTGTCTGATTTGTTACCATACATACATGTGAAACTTTTTGCTTTTGCTCCCTGCCAAAGAAA